CCCCGCCCGCCAGAGTGAGTGAAATATTTTGGGGAATATTAAAAGGGCAGGATAGAATATTTCCCCTAAAGGAGAATGGCGAAAAATCTTAAGGGAGGCAGAAACCAGACCCAGTCTCCAAGCCCCAAGCAGAAAACTAACCGAGGAGGCCAGCTTTTAGAAATGCAGATTTGGGAATGCATTCAGAAAGACTGGGTAACAGAAACTCCATATAAGCAACACAATTAGGCAAGCCAAAAGTTGACAAGATTAGCTCAAACACCTAGGATCTGCATTTCACCTTTTGCTTATGGAGTGAGCCATGACCCCATAGGAATTAAGGTAAAAAAACCCACCCTCTCTCAACTCCATTTTGTCAGCTGTCCCAGAATCACATGATGTTGGTGATTCTGCTCATCAGTAAACGTTCTTTCTTAAGTAGCCTCTATTTTATTCCCAACTTGGAGCTGACCTGGATTTTTCTTCCAACAGACTAAGATCTTGTGTTTGAACCAGAGCCAATTGGATGTGCTTCTTGTGTCACTACACTGTGGCAATCCTATCAGGATTGCTTGACACTGTTCCTAAGTTTGCAGTAAGTAGCTTTTTTTAGTGAGCAGCCCAGAGGTTCCTGGACACCATGACAACTATGAACCTGACCTCATTTGAGGACTTGAAACACATGAACAATCATTAGTTTTGGTCTTTTTCAGGGCAGACTCTATATCATCAGAAAGTGGGGGATCTGGAACATGACCCCTTCTTATAGACTGATTACTATGGAGTTGGATGTAATTGATGTAATGAGTTGGCCACAGCAAGTTGGCTGTGCCCATTCTGGTCTATGGTGGGGAAAGACCCATTGGATTTATTTTGCCTCAGGTCTCTAACGGATACTATGGATTTTCAGAAGGCTCAGAGAATTCTCCAGGAATTGACTGAGAGTCTTCACTGGAATAATCTGGCATCTGGACTTTGGGACTGCATTTCACTTGAGCGAATTCTCCATGTGATTAGTTGATTCTGCTTTATTCTTGCTTTATTAAGGACCTTAGTAAGAAAAGTAAGTACCATAGCAGAGAAAATGTCTGGAATGCTGCTGGAGAAAGGCTCCATCTTGAGTCTGACCAGACAGTGTGAGCATATTTGTTTCCAATAGCAATTTAGGGTACAAAAATAAATATTTTGCTCTTACTGCATTGGCTGAATACCTGCTTGCTTTTAAGGATGTTTGCCGGAATCATCAAGAGAGCTACTATAGGATTTGTTGGATATATCTTTTTATTTATGTATTGACTTATTTTCATTGAGCGTGGAATTATTACTCCACAGCAGGAACAAAAAGAATGGAGAAAAACACAGATTTCCCACAGCGCTTTAATTTTAAATTTTATTGCCATATGGGAATAAAATGTTTATAACACTTACTACAGGAATCAGCCCAAATAATTAAAACAGGATAATAATGAGTTCTAGTCCTCTGAAAAAATTGTTAAATTTCTAGTCATCAGTTTTCTTATAACTTTAACAATTTTTTTCAGATGACTAGAGCTTATTAGCTTATCTAGACTTATCTAGCCTTTAGAATTTTGGACAGATAATAGATTGGAAGCAAGGCAGATATTTAAGGAAAATATTCTTGGGTCCATTATATGTCTTTTTACAGAATGAGGATCAGTTATGAGTGTAGAAATCAATTTTTAAATAATTGTTTCCCATTAATTAATCCATTTAATACATGTGCAGAATATAATTGACTGAACTATGAGAAGATGTAAGGCATGTGCCATGTTCTTACTATAGGTAGTCCTCAACTTACAACAATTGAGCCCAAAATTTGCTAAGTGAGGCATTTGAATTTTGACCCATTTTATTACCTTTCTTGCCAGTGTTAAGTGAATAACTAATTAAATTAATAACATGTTTGTTAAATGAATCTGGCTTCCCCATTGACTTTGCTTTGCAGGAGGTCACAAATGGTGATCACATGACCCAAGACACTGCAATGTCATAAATATGAATCAGTTGCCAAACATCTGAATTTTGATGTGACTGTGGGAATGCTGTAACTGTCATAAGTGTGAAAAATGGTCATAAGTCATTTTTTTTCCAAGTGCTATTGTAACTTTGAAACTAAATGAACTGCTGAAAGTCAAGGACTACCTGTGCTGAACTATTAAAAGATCTTTGAACTATAGTCATCTATAACTATTTTGTTGAAACAAATATATATACAGTATATTCAGCATGTACAAGAACTGGGTTAAGTTCCTTTAAAACAGGGTTCCCGCAACTTGGCAACTTTAAGACTTGTGGACTTCAACTCACAGAATTTCTGGGAGTTGAAGTCCACAAGTCTTATAAGTTGCCAAGTTTGGAAACCTCTGCTTTAGTATGATAGCTCTAAAATGTATTGAACTGCAGATGAGGGAACAATTAACCCCAGCTATCACACCAGAATATAAATGATGGGGTAGAGAGGAATTTAACCACTTTCTTGTTTTAAAGTAAAATCTGAACAAGCTGTGGCTATGTACATTAATTGCATCATCACAATTAGCAGCATCATTTGAGTTTTAGGTCTTCATGTATAATCAATTTGCCTGACCTCGTGTCTGATTTGTTACAATTGTCAGGGTCTCTGAAAGCACATAATTGAAGTTGTCGTTTAACATCTAAGAGGACATCAGATTGACAAAGTTATACTAGTTAGGTCCATGGAAGATTTATTATATAAACATTGTCCAATTTCTTTTGACCAAAAGCCTTTCTAAAAAGCTAAGTGTTGCCACTTCGTTTGGTGTCATGCATTTTGGAAGTTTAAATCTTTTTTAAAAACCAGTTTGAGATATATCTGTTTCTTTGCTCTTCCACTGTTCATCATTATCCGTTCTTCCTTTAATTTCTTGCAGAAATAGTACCACTACTAAAGTAAAATGGAGGAAACATCTGTGAATTGTCCTTGAAATGTTAATACACTATACTTCAGAATCTCCCTGAATAAAGTTAGAAAGAACCTCTTAAAGAGACACCTGTCCTTACTGAATATCTTATCCGTTAATATCATAACATTTAAAAGGAACCCACTTTTAAAACAAACCCAAGGCTCATAGAGTTTTTTTCTTTTCTTTCTTTGCAATTTTCAGAATGGCAGAGCCAATTTGTCATTCCATGTAAGAAATGACAGCACTCATCCATCTTCAACAATTCTTCCTGGTAGTTTTGCACATTAAGTATCAGTGTCCAGTAACAAGAGGAAACAATTGTCCTCCAGGAACACACACACAAAACAGAATTGTAGAGCATTAGTGAAACAAAGTGAAACAAATATGTGTACTAGCTTGGATGAGAATTTAGTACAGATACAGCGTCACATACCTCTCCAAATCCTTATTTTTTTAAGTTCTTATTTCTTTTCTTTTTTTTTTTAAAAAAAGTTAATGTTGTGCAATGCAATGGTGGAAATTTTTTTTGAAAAACAAGATAACTCTGATTTCATGCAAATGCTTTCTTTGGTTTCTAATTCCAAAGGCCTATGTAACCAAAAGATGTAACATCCTACCAATATTTTAAATGCGAGCTACTTTTCAACCTTAAATAAGAGACACTTTATGATTAGGTACACATATTACACCAAAATATAAAAATTGTTTTTGAATATCAGCTGGCTTAATTTGCACAATAAGATAAGATATAGATTAATATAGATAACTATAGATTATAAATTACACTGTCTGGGTCAAAACCAATTAAGCTGAAATTAAATCATCTTAGGCTTGTTTAGTGCACAATGTGAATCGTCTTGTTATTGCTGTAAAAACTGAATGCTGCTCATATCTGATGTTTTGGGTGTATATACAGAGGTAGCACAATCTGTTCGCAATGGCTTGGTCAGCAAGGTGGTAAGTATTTTCTATATTTCCCCATGTCTTTTCCAAAATCCTTTCAGGAACTTTATTTATTGTGACTATAGTCTTGTGTTTGCAGTTCTCTGCATTAAAAACATGTAATGTAAATTAATAATAAAACAATGACAGTAGGATCAGATGAAAGGAAGATTAAATGAACAGCAATCCAAAACTAAAACTAGCAAAAAGATTGAATAATACAAACTACACAAAGAATTAAAAAATGAAACAGCCACTTTTTAAGATCCAGTAGTTATTTTCCTTGATCCATATTCTAAAGATAAACTAGGGAGCCAGTTTGGTGGAGTAGTTAAACACTAGGCTAGAAACTAGGAAACTGAGTTCTAGCCTCCCACCTCAGGGCAACTTTCGGTTGGTTTAAAAAAAAAAGCAAAAGAAATGTGAAAAACTGCTAGGAAAAAAAATATTTGGAAGATTATTAAGAAGGCTCCACTGATCCTTTCAAGGCCATATTTATCATTATAGCAAGGATGTTAACATCACAATAATTATTAAGTGCACTATTAGCAAACTGTTGTTACACCGGCAGCATCCTACCACTGCTTACACAGCATGGTTGTTGAATAGGCTACATTTAAATGGATTCACATATCATGATCATACTAAAACTTAATGATTAACAATATTCTATGATCAGGCCTGGTGTGTTCTCCAAATCAAGCCAAACATGACTTGCAAAACCATCCTTCATACTTGAAACATTGTGCAAATCCAGAAAAACAGGTTTCATTCGAAAAGAATGGTTAACAAATAAGTTTCATAAACAATGTTTGCCGATTTATATCAAAGTGCATCACTCATTAAGACATATTCCAGCAAAACCTGTGACTATTCAAGCTATAATCAAATCCTTAGCCAAGATGTAGATTATGGTAATCAATTCTGAAGGACATATGTCCTATGATTGGTGTCTTAAATATATTAATAATTAGTGCAATTTGGGAGCAATTTCAAAGTAAACGTTTGGGGGAAATCTTGGAGTTAGCCAAGCTTTGACTTGTGCTGTCAGCTTTTTACCTAAATCTATTCATTCAGTCACTTATCTTTGAAGATTCAGAAAAAAACTACTTATAGCTAAAATAATTTGATAATTATTAGCAAGTAGAAATAAAAATGCTAATAAATTAGCAAGTAGAAATAAAAATGAAGTTAAGGAGATTTTGATAATGACAAGACTGACTATTAAAATCCACCTACTGATGTATAAGATAGTACGAGCAAGAAGATAGCTTTATTCACTAGTTTCAAGAGCTTTTTTTTTTGTTAATTTTCCCCTTAAAGACCCAGGTTACATTTGAAATTAATCCTTTTCTCTTTATCTATTCAGAGTATCAGAAGCTTGTCACATTATACCTTCTATTCTCTATACTCTTTTTGTTTAATCCTTTTTTGTGATCATCTTGTTTAGATTGTCAAATATCTAGCTCCTTTGGATATCAACATCAGAAAACACCTTTAATATTTTCATGCAAAACCAACCATAACTTTATCATACAAATTATTCATCGCTAGAACAACCGTGTGCATGTATACAAGATTGAACACAACTATTAATTTGTTCTAGAAAAACAGAGGCTCATATTTGCTGAAAGTTGGTTTATTTACCTGAAAGGTCTAAAATTATAAATGACTTTAAATACACTATAATTGCCTCCTTAGGAGCCATAAATATTCAGTGCACTTCATCAGACAGAAATATACAAGTTAGTAAAGTGACATGACATTGATTGCAATTTTACACAGAGACAAGTAATGCAAATTCAATTTTTCATTTTCCACTTAGATGGAAATCAGCAAGAGTTTGCTATGTAGAAACCTATAGATATACAATTATCAACAAAGATTAAAAGCAGTGGATATCAAAATCTCTACATCTCATCAAGAAGTTTCTTAGTGCTAAAAAAAATATTTTTTCATAGACTATGACTGGATTCAAAAAAAAATAAGGTGAGAATGGATTTTTAAGTGTATCAACATTCTGGAGACTATTTGGAATTCTGAAAATTATAAAGATACTATTCTAATAAATTAAAGCAGTTTGCCAATAAAGGAGAGTATTTGTAACTCAGGGTTGAAATGAGCGATCCTTTGTGCCCTCTGAGCTTGGAGGGTTGTTGGGGTTTTTGACAGATGCTTTATTACACAAACTAGGTAATATTATCAGTGCTAGCAAGGAGTCAGTTTTGATCTCAGTTTATATTCTAGTAACTTGCCCTGTCAGTGTTGGTGGGAGTGATTTTACAGGTTACTTGGTTGGACTGTTTACTGTTAGCTTGTTTGAGAATTCCTTGATTGGGGTATTGTTTACTTCTTGATTGTTCTAATATTAATTTTGGAGTTAATCTATATTCATCTGGGTGCTAATTACTGGTGGGGAGATGTTTCTGTCTTTTTGTTCCCTTTTTGGCTTGTTGATTGTCTCTTTTGCATATTATGGAGATATTGTTTATGTCTGTGTCTATTGATGGCTAATTTGTCAGAGTGCCAGAATTCTAGAAATTCCCTAGTGTTTTTGAACTTGGCTTGGTCTAGGATAGTTACAGTTTCCCAGTTAAGTCTGACTATATGTTGTGCAATTAAGGAATTTTCTGACTGCTAGTTGGTGTTCATGGATGCATTTTATCAGTCTTCTACTTGCTTGTCCTATGTAGTGACTGTTGCAGTCATTACACAATAATTTGGGTAATGAAAAGTTTGATAGAAAACAACCAAGCTCAAAGAGCTCCAAGGACTCCTTAAAGCAATTTGGCAAAAGGACAAATTCCTTCCAAATCAAGGTTAAATTCATACACATCAGAACACATTTGAAAAAGCACCTTTGGGACAAAGATGACCTGGATGCCTGAGAATCTCCATACACATATCTGAAGAACTATATCTATCTTGAACTGTGACTCTTCAAGTCTTTGAGATAGTAATCTGGCAGCTATTGAAAGCAAGTGTACTTGGAGTTAACACTAAAAGGAATTTTGGCACATTCAACCTTAAAATCAATAGGTATAGACATGTCTAGGTCTGCAAGGGATCAATCAGCTATAGGTAATATTTTGCAGATAAAAATGTATTTAATATTAAGATTTAGGATGGGAACTGTAGCTATTCTGTTTTTCAATGTAACTATTCTCCTTTTAATTGTAGATGTACATAATTTATTCCAGCCCTTATAATTTATTATTTGAGTGTTTCCATTCAGTTACTGACAGTGTTTAATGTACACTGAGCCATCAACCAGAAATAGTTAAGCAACTATGCAGCAGTTAGAGAGTAAAGTATAATTTTACAAAATTATTAAAACAAGAATATAAATTCACCCTTGTTTCTCCAGTCCTGTAACCTTAATTTACCTTGGTTTACAGTTATTTTGATGGCAGGTAGAAAATCCCCTTCTCATATCTTAATATAAAAAAACACAGCATGTAGATGAGGAAGTTGACATAAATACCGTATTTATACGTGCTCTATATGTAATGGTTATTTTTAAAAAAATCAGTAATTAATATTTTGTATTTATTAATAACATTGAAAAATGTTATTAAAATTATAATATGAAATGTGCTGAAAATTGCAAGCTATTTGTTTAAACAAGTTAAGCACTTATCCAGTAAATATATTTATATAATTAGTTTAATTTTTTTCTTTAGAGATTTGCAATGTAGTCTACCAGCAATGCCACAAGAACAGAACACAAGCTGATATTTTTCATTGCATAAGTCTACTAATACTGTGCAGAACTGTTAATGTTAATTCAATATTAGAACATTAAATCCTTTATGAAGCAAGCGAAGATATAAAAAGTATTTTTAGGTTTGCTTGTTTTAAAAAGACAACCGAAAATATAATGCAACATTACATTTTTTGTAAACATACCAAAATATGGTAGACATACTTTATGTGACAAGAAAGTTAACTGTTTCCTTTATGTTCAAAATCACACTATTTAGTTTACTATAAAAGTATAACTGGAACTCAATTTCTGAAAAGGAATTTGAATTCACAAAAATGATTAAAAAAAACCTGCTCTGGAAACATACCAGAATTCATTATTGACTTTGAATTAATCCTCATCTCTATGATTTGAATTCAGTTTCCAATATATCTAATAAAGTAACTCAAATCAAAAGTTCAAGTGGAGCAGAATTCCTACTACAGATTTTAGGTTATTTTCCCTTCAACAGCAATGTTGCGCAAACTCAACATATGGCAAATCTCAAAAATTTTGTGATGCATATCCAAGTATTTTTCAGTTTTGTTTGAGATGTGTATATGCTCGTGAATATCATACAGGAGATATAAAAACATTAACAAAAACACTATATTTGAGAAATTGAACTGGACAAATTCTAAATCTGTCCTGGAATCAAATACAATATCAGATACCACTTTTAAAAACCCTTCACAAAAATCTTTGCAATATTAGATTTTCAAATATCTTACAGGACACCTGAGATCCTGCACATAGAGATTTAACAGAGAGCAACTAATCCATATCTATATTTCATCAAGTGAAAAATGGCCAAACTCACTCTTCAAAATTGTATCAATTTTCCATTAAAGAGATTTTTCAAGATTCCATCTTCTGTTTACAGAACTGCAGCAAAAAGCAGCACAGAACTTTTAGTTCACAGCCCAGGGTAGGGTACGATGGGAGACAAAAGCTCTATTAAAATATATTGCTACGATTATAATCTGAAATTCGTTTCAATATTGAAAATCACATGTTTTTCATAGATTTTCTTCATCGTTCTCTCAATTTGTTTCAGAAAAACTTGTGGAATTCTCCCACATAAAGTGTGTACAGTATTGAGGAATTTGGACTGGAGAGGATAGTACATTTTTTGGAAGAGATTGTCTTCAAATGAAAACTAAAGAGGAAAAAGATACAAAAATGTAATCAGCAATCTTAAATCATTGCTTCATGGTTGATACTGATATATGTGTAATCACCTTCTCCTATTTAGCACCAATACAAAACACATAGTCTGACCCCTATTTATTATATCTCCTCATCCTCATCTTTAGTAATCTTCCATATTACTTTAATCCAATCTACTGGATATCATTATCATCCAACTCTTTGTCCTTCTTTGTCACCACATATTTAAGCATTAGTCCAGAAAAGTACCACTTTCAAAAAAATTTTTTTTACCTGAACACTGGTATAAACTGAATTGGGACTCTTGATTCTGAATCTAACTGAAGAAGTTGTCTTGCATTGTATTGCAGCAAGAACAAAATCTCTGAAGACGAATTTGGTATCATGGATGGAGTTCTATAATAGGATCAGGAGGACCTAATTTCAAGCATCCATTCAAGTATAACATTCACTGGAAATTTTGAGTAAGTTAGAATCTCTTAGCCTGCTCTACCTTCTAGGATTCTTGTAACAATAAAACCTATTACTGATACTATATATTGCAGCCTTATTTTATGCAAGAACTTGTGACTTGGCAAAACATCACTTACATCACGTATCACTTCATAGAGTGCTTTGAAAGTAGGTTGTTTATCATCATGATAAACACCTCGATTCCCATGCAAAATTGAAATGCCTTCTTCTTCTGCTCCTTTGCAGTTACTGCCATACATGCAATGATCTGGTCGATAATTCCACTGACAGGGAAAGAGGAAGAGACATTCTAAAAGGAAGTAAAATGAAAACATGTAGAGAAAAAAAATTAGCCAAGAGTAGAATGACTCTTTTTTTTAATGACCCTGTAATCCCCTTAATTTTGGGGGGGAGAGGGGGGGACTAAATGGAGCTGAGCATTTACTGGCCGGATGTACTTCCTGAGCCACATGGAGTTCACAAAAGGTATTTTTCTTTCTGCCCTAGGAGACATCTGCCATTACATAGGTCTGAAATCTCAGCCGAGTGGCAGGTGAGCGTCTTCACCCCTAGGCATCACAAAATAGAATGATGTCTAGGAATCAGCTTTAAATACAAGACATGGAAAGAAATCAGAGAAAAATAATTTTATAACAACATCATCATACAAATGATGAGTTCAAATATATATAATTCTGATTTTTTCCTAGTTGCTCCAATCAGTATTATGGTTTTTGAGAAAAGAAAACTGATAGAATTTGCAAAAGACGGAGACTTCCAATGATTGGAAAAAGATGTAGAAATATATTATGGCTTAAGGGAACAATAATGCAACACTCATACTTGGAGAGTCTCAATTTTTTAAAATTATTATAATATATTCAAAGTTAAAATCATGCTATCATCATATTACAATATCTTATATACTTATAAAGTATGCACCTGGATTGAAGTAAAAAATAATATTTAGCAAGTCCTGGTCTCCCCACGTAATGTAATTTTTATACTTTTGGTATAAAGGGTACAGCATTTCTTCCCATTTCAAGCCTGTTGGTATCAAGTTGTTCTGAAATTGAGAAATAAATGATTTGAGAAAGTAATTGTAACCACAAATTTACATTCAAAGCAGGAGGAAGCTATGGTGCATAGCATGGTGCAGCTTCTAGCTGGGTTCAGTGACCAAACAGTATGAAAAAAGTTGCTTTCAACAAGATGGGAATGAGAAGTCATTTCTCCTAAATATGCCAAACAAGAAATCTACCTTAGTATTCTGCCTGACAAATATTCAATCATTCTTCCCCACTGGATGTGATGGCTAAGAATTATGGAAGCTGAAGTCTAACATATCCAAAGGATACCAGAACGACTGGCTATACTGACAGGATTCTTAGTGTGGCAACCTTAGTGTGGCAATGTAGGAGCATTTGAAGGCCTACAGTTCATGCGCTTTTACAGAGGCACAATTGAGAGCGTTTTAACAAACTGCATCACTGTTTGGTTGGTGGCAGCAGTGCCTCAGATAGAAAGTCCATTCAGAGAGTGGTAAGGACAGCTGAGATGATTAGAGGAAGCCCGCCTCCTGTTATTCAGGATACTGCTTATAAGCGCTATGTGCTTAGAGCTCAAAGCATTTTTAGAGATCCCGTCACACACCCACTTCATGGTCTGTTTCTATTGCTCCCCTCTGGGAGGAGATTTTGAAGTATTTCGAAGACTACCAGATTCTATAACAGCTTTGTTCCTTATGCCATCTGTCTGATAAACTTGCAAGATTCGTTTTTCTCACCATGTACATCCAAACTAGACTATGTTGTTTCTCTGTATCATATAATATATGTGGGTATATACATAATTTTGTATTTATTTATTTAGTCATGTTTATGTAGTGTATGTTGTAGGTGGTGACCCTTTGAGAGCTGTATGCAACAAAATTTTATTTTAATGTATGCCGATTAGCGTACATTCAAAGTGACAGTAAAGTTATTCTAAGTCTAGGTCTTCCAAAATGAACTATTCTTTCACTGTCTGTCTTACAACCAGTTTGAGTATTTATTGATCTACGTGGTGCACATTTCTAAAAAAACAAAACAAAACATAGTCCATGTTATGTTTTCATCATGTCAATGCCATTTGTACAGAAAGAAACTAAACTCTACAATCTGTCAAAGTTTTGCCCAACTAACAAAAAATGGAGTAAAAACCAACTCTACCCCAACAAAGATATTCTTCCAAAATAAATAAATGATCTCCTTACCTTGAATTGGGTATTTCTTATTCGGGTTAAATTCATTAGCATAACACCAGAATTCACCCCAGTGGTTCCATAATATGGGTGGCGAGCAAAACGACTATACCAGCCAATCTTTGGTATTTCGTGTTCTGGTGCCATTGCAGCCAGCTGGGTGGCATTGAAAATTCTCAGAAAGCCCCAAATGTCATCAATGGGTCGCAGGAATAAGACATCTGTGTCCACATACAGAAGGGAATCCACATCCTTCAAAATCATCTTTGGAAAAAGCCCAGATGGTTGAGAAAGCCATATATGCAAAAAACCAAAAATAAATACATTAATGACTCGCAAATGGATATATACCGATCATGAGGCAATACCTCTGACCTGCCTTTCTGTTCAAATAAAGAGGTTCTGGTACAATACTTCAGGGTCACGTAGACAGGAACAAAGGCAAGAGGAATGGGGTGAAGAAAAAAGGTCAGATGCTGTCAGTAGTTTGCACTTCCCCCCACCCCCAAAAAAGAAGCCAAATGCACCAGTTTTCTTTTCCTTTTAGTGTTAAAGGAAGTTACTTCCCAATTGTTACAAGGAAGAGTTACAAGGAAAATAGATTTAGAAGTGATAGCTATTAACCTGTAAGAGGAATCCATTGCTTACTTTAGAGAAAAATCCAATTCTCCTTTGAATGGAATCGATGTCTTCCCTCAATTGCCATCCCTCCTATTTTTGCCTTGTTTAGAAGGCTCAAAGATGAACCAAGTTTTATCTGTTCAAGTTTTAAGCCATATCAGGTAGTAGAGAGTTTATGAAGGCACACAGTCTACAACCTTTTCCTTACAAAGCATTCCACTTCAGCAGGAATGGAAGAGAGTCAATCATGGTAAATTCACCCAGGGTTAGTTTTATAATGGAACAATAGCAATAGCACTTAGACTTATATACTGCTTTATAGTGCTTTACAGCCCTCTCTAAGCGGTTTACAGAGTCAGCATATTGCCCCCAACAATTTGGGTCCTCATTTTACCCACCTCGGAAGGATGGAAAACTGAGTCAACCTGGTGGGATTTGAACTGCCAAATTGTAGGCAGCTGGCTGCAGAAGTAGCTTGCAGTACTGCACTCTAACCACGGCGCCACAGAGGCTCCTTAACAACCTGTTTCCATACAGCACAGATTGCTGAACAAACTTCAAGATCCTATTATATCCTCTTGTTCAGACAAAAGCAATTATATCTGTAGTCCATCTCCTTCTTTCGCAATTTGTTTCTTCCTTTTGATCTCCTGCCATATAACGATTACATTCAACTTTTAAACTTTCTGCCTTATCCATATGTTACTAAATCATAACTTTCCCCAACCTAGTGCTTTCCAGACCTGATGAAATACATCACCTGGAGATGGTGATAGCTCATGTTTGGCTCACTTAAAGGCAACAGTTTGGGGAATGTGGATTTATTAGAATATGATGTTGCAAATATATCTTCCTATAACAAATGAGAGATCAAGAACTGAATTCCAAACTTTCAGTATACATATAAGACTGTTCTGTGACTGAACTGTGGCTCTTGGCCAGCTTGAACCACTGGAAAGAATTGTCATGGAAGACACTGGCTCACTATATTGATAACAGTATATCGAATGAATGACAATTCTTTCAAGTTGTTAATTCTTGTTTGCCATATGCCCTCTTGTGGCCAACATGTTCTTTATAAATCTATCCCTAATTTCAATAATTTTATACAACACTGCAGAGTAGATTTGAGGCTTTGCATAGTGCCTCTTCCCTAGTTTATCTCCCCTCTAATTTTACAAAAAAACTCCTTTTGATTGTCTTCATTCCCAAACAACTCTCTGATTATATTTGCAGGCACTATACCATGAATGGACCACCACAGTGAAGTTCCACCATTGAAATCTATGTTTGGAAAAACCTCCTAAATATTGCTAGACTAATTTGCAAATAGAAGGTTGGAGATAGAACCCCATCTATGTTTCATTTCTTTTTTTCTTTTGGCAACATGGGTAAGCTAAAATATAACACATAAAACAAGGTATATCTTTAGCATAGCAATAACAATGGAACGTATTCAGATGTAAAAGCTTAGCTGTCATGTTTTTAAAAAGACGTTTTATTTATCTGTTTTAGTTACCTAATTTAGAAAAAAAACCCCATCTCCCTTGACAGAGAGACATGGAATACAGGCAATAAAGAAAACTCTTAAAAGCTAAGTCTGAATCAACTGAATTGTAAGCCTCTCAGAGTCAGACAGAGATAGGCAGCCACAGAAACTGAACAAACAAACAAGCAAACAAACAAACATCCTTTTCTTAAGCCTTGAAGTCTCAACATCCCATTTTTAAAATACATTTCCTTTCTTGGAGCATATTATGTGAGCATATTTTTATTACCAAAAATGACAGGTTAAATAATCAAAGTAAACTGAACCAAATGATTATTTTGGGGTGTATCTTTCATTAGTGTGCATACAGTGATTAATTGATAATTGCAAGATATTAATTCTAGGACTTCTTTAGATTCCTTTCACTTAATAAAGTAACCCTTTTATGTCTTTAATGTAAGTATTCGGTAGGTTTAATTTGTCATCTATAGATAGTTCTCAACTTACGATCATAACTGAGCCCAAAATTTTTGTTATTAAATAAAACATTCATTAAGTGAGTTTTGCCCCATTTTGCGACCTTTCTTGCCATAGTTATTAAGTGAATCATTGCAGTTGTTAAGTTAGTTACACAGTTTGTTAAGTGAATCTGGTTTCCCCAATGACTTTATTTGTCAGAAGGTCACAAAAAGTGATTACCTGACCTCGGGACCCTGCAACCATCATAAATGTGAGTCAGTTGTCCAGTGCCTGCATTTTGATCACATGACCATGGGAATGCTGCAACAGTAGTCACTTTTTTTCAGTGCCGTTGTAACTTTGAAAGGTCACTAATTGAACTGTTGTAAGCTGAGGACCACCTGTACTGAGGGTTTTTTCTATTCTTTCCAGAAAGTATGTGAAGCCTCCATTGAGTTTAAGATTCCTATTTTGCCTTAGAAACCTAGGGCAAAATCCAAATCAAAGGCCCCCTCCCCCCCTTTTCTCTGAAATTTAGTCACCAAAGTTTGCCTACCCTATAACATGAAAAATACATTAATTTTGTTTCTCTCCCGTTCCTTTCCTTTTCATTTCATATTGCAAAGAAGTTAAAATGAGAGATGGGAATAAAACTAAGGCACAGACTGTCTTGTATTAGTGATTATACATTAGTCACTCTAGCAGCCTTTTTGGCTAAAGTACATTGTAAAAATGCCACTAATAAATAAGCAGAAGTGCTGAAGAGTTCCAAAACAAAAAGCAGATTGTGTTGCGAGTCAGCAAGAAACTTAACATATTAGCTGTGTCAGAATATGAACAGCACTTTATTAAAGTCTATACAGGGGTGAGAGCATGAACCGTGAGTCTTATTAACTCAAAAGGAGCAGTACACTGAAATAAAAAGTGGCAAGCCCCTAAATAGTATAATGACAAAAAAAATTCAAGCAGCAACCGGATACTACAGTTCTTGGAAAAAAATCTCCTGCTGATAATGGCAGTTGTCACTTTCTAACCTTATTGTATAAACCAGGGGTAGTCAACCTTTTTATACCTACTGCCCACTTCTGTATCTCTGTTAGTAGTAAAATTTTCTCTAACCGCCCACCAGTTCCACAGTAATGGTGATTTATAATGTAGGGAAAAAAACCCTACCGCCCACCATGAAAGCTGGAACGCCCACTAGTGAGCGGTAGGGACCAGGTTCACTACCACTGGTATAAACACTTCTATTACTCTCTCAAGATACTACCTAGGAAGAGCTGGTGCAATTTCACCAAGTATTATATCCGAAAAGTTAGGTAGGATGAGTAAACTTGTCACAGAATGCACATGTCTATAAAAGTAGGTTTGGTCTATGTTCTTTTTTTCTTTTTTAAAGTAAAAATACTGACAAATTTATCAGAGGGGCAAACCTGGATAGGACAGATCTCTATCAATGGAGGATTTTAAGAAAAGACTGGATAGCCATGGTGTAAAGTATCCTGCTTGAGCAGGGGACTGGACTAGAAGACCTCCAAAGTCCCTTCCAGCTCTATTCTGATTCTGGATGCAACAGTGAAAATAGCTGCAATATGAAACTGACTGTTCCATCTTATTCAATCTTAAGTTTGCCTTGGGGTAGGAACATGAGGCTAACAGACTGACTTAACTAAAGGAAACAAACTCATTCTTAAAGTGGACAATTTCATTGGCATATATATTTTATTGTACAGAACAGAAGAGAATGTTTGGGTCATGGAACCCTAAGAACCACACTATTTTGAATGTGAGTGATGCTCTAGCTAACAGGAATAAACATTATTTAGTGTAATACTCCTCCTCCTCCTCCTTTTTTTTTGTCTGTTCAGCAATGTCCAGTTCTTGGAAACTGCCTGGACAAATCCCTGAAGTTTTCATGGCAACTTTTTCAGAAGTTTGCCCTCAACAGAACCAGAGGAAGTACGGAGTGGACTTAAAGAAGATGAATATGGAAAAGGATCACCTAAAATTGGGAAACAAAGCAAACTTAATGTCAGAACAAAGCACAGAAATTACCAAGAGAAGCCAAAGCCAAGATAAACACCTCAGAATCTCAACAAGGGGTTTCAGAGAGTTGTTAGAAGAGACAAGAAGCAATATTGCAACAACATCAGTAAACACATTGAAGGTGGAAGCAGACATGGAAAAGCAAGGAAAATATTTTAAAAAAATCTGTGAGTCTAGAAGCAAGTTCCAACCTTGGAAATGATATGCTACAGGAGGCCAACTGACAGGTATTGATTGATTCAAAGAAGAACAAACCAAAATGGAAGGAATACACTGAAATACTATACAACTGTAACTTAGATAATATTTCCTACTTATGAGAACCTCTAGTGCAGAAGATAAAATTAAATCTGCGCCAAGGCTACAGGAATTGATGGAAATACCCACTGAAATATGACAAGTAGCAGAACAAGAATCAGTAAAGTTTCTAAGCAAGCTACGCCAGCAAATTTGGAGAATGACACAGTGACGGAGAGACTGAAAGAGGTCAATCTACATTCCAATATGAGAGAGAGAGAGAGAGAGAAAGACTTAGCAGAGTGTGCAACTAAACTATCATACAATATCCTTAATCTCACATGCTAGCAAAATAATACTTGGGATCATCCAATGCAGATTACAGCTCTGCATGGAAAAAAGAGACACCAGATGTTCAAGCTGTGTTTAGAAAAGGCCGAGAAATATAAGTCATTATTGCTGATGCACATTGGATAATTGAAAAAGCCAAATAATGCCCCAAAGAAGACACTATGTGCTTCATTGATTATAAATGTTCATAGTTTCAATGGATGGAGTTGGTAATTACCAGAATAGCAGAAAGCACAGAGGTGAATTAATTTCCTCCTGCTAGCATCTCTGGAGAATTTGCCCCGAGAAGCAGCAGCATCTGCAGAGAATGGATTTTCTTCAGACATGAAGCCATGGAGCAGTATGGTAAATTAAATTTCTCCTTCCCACAATCCCAGCTATTACCAAGGCCTTTCTCTAATTGGGTGCTACTTACAGTACAATCTTCCAGCCATAATTAATCTTAGGTAATTTGAATCAGAATCAGAACCAGTTCAATAAACATGTACTGTCCACATCCCATCAGTTTCTTTTCCAGTGCATTCTATTGCTGTCCCTGGCTCTCCATCAGTCTGTATCTTGGTTACAAGGTTTTATAACTATACTGTGGGAGTGGAACAGATATAATGAAATTCCCAATAATCCCAATATGTGTTAGTTCATAAGTTCCATCTTTCCGAGAAGGCATGAGAATGATGGATATTGGGGACCCATATTCAGGGAACATTGGATCAGAATGGTTGTCTAAAGAAAATCGGGCAGTTCAATTTAGACTGCAATCAGCCACAAAGTCAGTAAATGATATTTTCATCTACTTGATGCCCTTCTGACCAATCCTCATAATACAAATCTTGAAATAAAACCAATGAAGCACGAAACCGTCACCAATCAATCCGTCTTTTTCTTGTTGGCTGAGACAAATTAAATGTTACATCTCTTTAATTTGTTACTGTACTGTATTCAGTTGAACAAACATATAGAACTATGATCTTGATTTCCTTGCTTTGAAAAGATACCATGGGGCAATAAAGGAACTGCGGACAAAAGGACCATAAATGCCACTTTGCATTCAAGTTTCTAACTTTAAGGCCAACAAAACCTCTTATGTCTTTTGAGCTTCACGTATGACATTTTGAGTACCTTACCGGAAGAAAGAGGCGTTGGGCAGCACATGGCTTGAATAATTTTCTCCACTCTTCAGTGTTTCCAACTGAAAAGGTGATTGGGTAAACATTGTATTCAAACTTCTTTGAGAAAAAGGTAGGCCATTCTTTTAACTGCAAAGCACAAGAAGGAAAGAAGGAATTAGTATTACAGGGAGGGTAATACTATGGGAGCAGTATTATGGGAGCAGAAATGCTATTCAAACATCTTCAAGCCATGTACTAACTAAGGCTGAGCTTTACGGAGAGCTTAGAAGCAGAAGTTCAGGCACCATTAACTCACGGCTGACAGAGCTTTCTAAGTGAATCTGTAGCCTTTTAAACAAATCTGAGGCTTAGCAGTTGTTTTTAAACAAAGAAATCACTGAAAGATACTCACTTTCTTCTCAAACTCTGGCTTCAGGGAATCCTCAGCAAAAATATGAAATTTGAGCTTCTTGTTGCTAAAGAGAACTGCTGATTTCAGCATGTTGAGAGTTTCTAGCAGCCGGTCGCCACATGCTACAACTGCAAGATGCATCCATTGCACCGAAGAAAACTGGGTTGCAGAATGCTTTTGGTCCTTTGGTCTCCTAAAAGTAATTGTTTAAAAATATACATGGATCATAATCAACATTTTAGAGGTACCAAGATTAAAGAAATATATATTAGAAGAGGTTGCCACTGCTTATTTTCATTATGTTACTGAACCAACATGTGGTTAAGATAACATTTTCCTCAATTGCTTTCTATCTAAATTTACTTTGGACGGAATTCCACATAGCAGAGGCAACAAAAGTGTATTTACTGCTATCAAGTGAAATCTGGGTAGTTTCAGCTGTTTCAGAAAACAATTACAAGTGAGACATGAAAATAGCTCTAACATTAGACCAGCAGCCTTCCTGATTGTGAAGATACATTTGCAAACATGCCAAAGATCTCACTGTTCTAGAGGCAGAGTTACTGAAATGAGTTTTTTGTTCTTTTCACAGCTTTTAATCATTCTGCCTTTTCGGAGAAGCCTGAATACTGATATTACCACTTAGCAATAAATGCAGCTCCCTGTTTAACACCATGTTGACCACAAATTCAAAGGTCTTCTGAAATGCCCAGAACTGACATGCAGATAGAAATGGTTTATTTAGAATAATATTATTAATCTGAAAACATGGCTCTCAGCACAGAATCCTGGCTCCTGTAATGTAAAATACCAATGGTTTTGAGATTATTTCCTCCGTAATAAGTGCCCATATTTTTTCACCAAGAAACTAAAATGTCTTGTAATAACTGCTGTTCCATATTGCAGCATAAATCTACTTGTGCCCTTAAGGGACATTAGATTTTAGCACCTCACTAGTTCAGCACTGCAATATATTTAATTAATTGCTTAAAAGTCCATAGGCTTTTGTCTTAATTAAACCTCTATTTCTGCAATGGATAAATAATGGCACGAGGCATTTATGCAAATAGTATTTACTTTCCAGCCAATTAGTGAAAAGCCTACTGAATTATTAAAGTGTATAATTAAGGTTGCTTCTGGTTTGTGTGCTTTTTCTTTTCCCCCTTCTGACTATTATCCCTTTTGCCCACTTCTTTTAGGTTTGTTCTTAATTGTGTTGGTAAATCAACTCTATACCAAATATGCAACACTGAGGTGGCGGTTGCCTATGCATTCCTGTTAAAGCATTGAAAACCCCTAAAAGTCTAGTGTGCCAATGACCCTTCAACCAGGAACACTAATTTTATGCAGAAGATGGCACCTAGCCTTGGATTCTTGGAAACATCAGGGTATCTTGGATGTCTACCTAATCCTAAGCGATGATCAGCAGCTGAAGAAAAGAGGCCCCATTACACTAATCTTAACTACAGGGAAACTGGCTTTACTGTTACTTGATAAGTTGTATTTCGGCTATATTTCCTAGAAGTTTTTACTGTTTTATTAAATATAAGGAGTCCTCAACTTATGGCCATATAAGTCTGGACCATGATGGCTGCTGGCCCCATGGCAGACCCAAGACATGGTGGATGGATCACATCAAGGGGGACATGAAATGCAAGGGGGCATCACCCTTGAAGATGCCCTGGATCAAGCCAAGTGGAGATGGTTTTGCCAACAAATGGACCCTGCCATAGCACGGGAATAATACCAGGAAGATGAGCCTTCAACTTGTGACCACAATTGAGTCCAAAATTTCTGTTGCTAAACAAGGCTGCATTAAGTAAGTTTTGTCCTGGGGGCTGTTGACTCTCTATCTGAGGGCTGATGGATGGCCCAGGCTCTGTCTCTGTCTCTCTCTTTGCCAGCTCCATCCCTCTTCCCCCTTGGGGCTCAAAGATTGCCTTGATGCTGACCCAGCCGGTGGCCGACAGGCCACAACACCTATTCTCAGAAAAATTGCAAAAAGAAGAACATTTTACTGAAACTTTGAGACTCACTTCATTAGATCTCATAAGAAGAATTTATGCAGATTGTTTGGAGAGGACAGGGTGGTATGGATAGACCATGGGGTGGCAGAGACAAAGTCTCACTACCCGGATGAAGATTAAAAATAAGGATTTGACAAGTGCCTCTATTACATGACGTGCCTTAAGAAGAACAATATGACTGCAAGGCTATGCAACTCAAAATATTAAGCACCTCAAACAATGTTACATAAAGCCCTGGAAAAATAATTGCAGAGAACAGTCTTCCCCATGTTAAAAAAAATATGCTCTGGGAAAGGCTATATCAACTATACAAGCCCCCAAGTAGATTCACTGTTGACAGGATCTCCTATGGACTCTCTGGCAAAAGATCAACTTTAACAAAATAGTTTTCCTTTTCCGGAAGCTTAGATGAATTTCAGTCATCCTCAGTTTGATTCCTATCAAGTTCAAATCACTTCAAAGCCTGGCTAAGCAGCACTTATCTGCTAAAAACAGCCCCAGATATCTTCTAGTCTACTTATTTTGAAACCAATGCCAATCGTAGCATGAAAACATATTTGCACTTTTGCAATGTTTTTGTTACATGTAATTGAAACTACAATCCTAAGCATAGGCATAGCAAAATTCAATTTATGTTCACTCAGAAGAAACTACTCTCCTGGGATAGGAAGGGGAGGTGGTGGGGAGAGAAAGAGCCTGAAAAAAATCAAAAGAAAGCCTTTGTTTTATTCCCTAAGGGTCTCCATTTTTTATCTTTGAAAATACAGGAAAATTGAACCATGGAATATTTCTATATATCCTATTTAAATGCATTTGTTTTATTCCTTTCGTTACTGACACTTATATGCCACTCCAACAGGCTTCTATTCCCATCAGCAGTCAAATAAGTCCATCCTTCCTGTAGAGATCCGTAGTCCTATTCATCCCAACAGGAGTCAACAAACATCTGCCTATGATAAAAGGCAGGTGTTAATTTCCATCATCCTCCAATCACGTGCCATCTGTTCTGAAACGACTACTCATATACATTGAGGCCATGATGCATGGGAGAAACCCTTAGTTATGATGGGGATGAATTTCCACGTTGCTTCATAGCTCAACACCAGGGGAGGATGGCTAAAATATAACAGCATAAATCTGTGGAACCCCATTGCCACTGTAGTTGTTGTTGTTGTTGTTGTTGTTGTATGGCATTGTTACAGTAGCCAGGAGACCATAATCCCATTGCACAGTAGTAGTTTGACATGCCAAGGTACTATCCCTGTTATAGGAAACGTTTGCGTGCTCTACTAGGTGTGCAACAGGTGGTCAAATTGTCAAAGACAAATACGAACAGCACTTCCTGCAGCTTCACCCAGGGACCCTCCATTCTCAGAGCTGCCTTGCAATTGGGCACCACAATTGGAAAGGTTCAGAGCCAACAGGAATCTGACCATCTGCAGAGCACCAGCTCGTCTCTTCACCAAAGTGGTACCTATCTATCTACTTACATAGAACATGCTTTTAAACTGTTAACTTGGACAAGGTCTGAGGTGGATGACAAGAGTTCACTTTGCCATGCAACTGCTTGGGTTCAAACCACCAAAGCTGAGACCACCTCTGGTGTCAATTAAACCATTGAGTCATGGTGCCTCTGATTGCCATTACTATAGTGAGATCAAACACTGTTAGGGGTTCTATTCTGCACAGGTAGAAGGTACAACAGCAGCAGTCTTCATAGTTGTTCCTGGCACCCATCTTGAGAAGTAACATCTCAGATATCTTCCAGCTTTTAAAGGGCATCAACGATTGCAACAAACATCTCATCTGTGCTATCTGAGCTTGTGCTGCTGCCATACCAAACCCCAGGAGGATGTTTATGAGACAGGAACACTCCATTTTAATTCAATTAGGAGTGAGTCATACAAAGTATGAGTCACACAAAGAATGTTTTCTCATTCACTGATTGTAGAAAAGCTGAGATGTATTGCTGGTACACCTAACATTAAGGAGCAGCTTAACAGCCAAACAATTATTTGTATATTGTTATCAAATCCTTTATTTCCCCAAATGATTTTTTTAAATTTAAAACTTCAAGACTTTTAAGTAAAGTATCAGGTTATTACAAATCCTAGGTACAAGGTATACGATACAAATGCAATAATAAATGCAATAATTTCTTCTTCAGGAACACTAACTACTAATAAGCTGAGATAATTTGCAGTAGGGTTTCTGGCGAGTAAGCAGGATACTGAAAGCAACAGAGAAGTTGAATTTCACCTGATATTTTTTGGTCTTTTTTTTTTCATTAGTGTCTATACAAGAGAATGTGTGAAGGGAGGAGCTGGCTGGAGCTGCACAATCTCTGGGGGATTCATGGAAGTGGATAAGTCTAGTCTGGCGATATGAAGAGAAGGCACCATGCTTGTGCTCCTGCCTTAGGTGGATCCTTCCCGCATCTCCATCAAACTCATCGTGCTGCTAGAAAAGAAAGCAGAAGAATGGAAGCACATCTGGCCATGCTGAGGCTCATTAGAGAAGATGAGGAGATTTGGATAAGGAAGAAGGATGTTCTCTTGTTTCCAGCCTTCTGCCTTCTTGCCTTGCTAACTTGGACCTGACACTTAAGAGTGTCGGGGGATTAAAATAGTTAACTGGCCATTATTTTTAGCTCACAAGCACCCATATTTGAGGATGATCAATATTCTGATAAATATGACCTGTCAAGCTGCAATTAACCTCAATGGGCAAGGATTTAAAGGAGAGGCTGCACAGAAGACAGCTGTAAGTATTCTCAGCCTGAACAATTAAAATTCAACTAGATTGGAGCGAAATTTTAGACATCTCCCAAGATGATTATGAAACAAAATATAGAGTACAATTTAAAACAGATGTGAGCAATTTTATAGGCAAAGTGCCTTGGAAACATACCACACTGAGCCAGTTAATACCAACAAAAAGCCAAAATCTTTTAAGGCCACTAATTACCCAGAGCTGAGTTAATGCTCCAAGCAGCACAGTCAGGATATTGTACTGCATTTACTGTCACTAAGCATGCCCTGAAATTAGAACATACTATGTGCAAATTGTTTTCCACCAATACTACACTGCTGTTAGCCGTTATAACATCACAAAGGAGTAAATCACAGGCTTTTCCCTCCTACCTTTACAAAATAATCAACATCTC